CAGAACATGATTTATGAATGAAAAGCTCACAAGCAACACAAGTGTAAAAGGAAGAATCAGATGATAACTGTTCTAAGCAAACATTGCAATGGCGGAAAGAAGCTAGTTTAACTTCATGGCTAAGATTTTTGACGAACAAGAGTGGGTGTTCAACATGAATGTGATGATCAACTTTAGGAAAATCTCCATTGAAGAATTCTGGAAGCAAGGCACATTTGATATGAAGTTCAAATTTACAAGAAGAACAGTGGTAAACAGATCCTTTGACACTACCACCACAAAAACCACAAGAAGCCAAGAATGATGCTCTGGCTAAACGAGTGAGAGGATGATTATCATGTAAGGGGTGAGTGATGTTCAGTGGTTGCTCAGAACATGATTTATGAAGGAAAAACTTACAGTCCATACATGCATAGAACTGAGTTGAGATTGGCCGCCTACATCCTGATGAGCAAGTTAAAGCTCTAGTCTTGCCGGAAACATTGCTCCACTCTTCAAAGAAGTGCAGCGGATGTATATGAATAAAGTTTTTGAGTTCCATCCTCTCTCTCTATATACATCAAAATGCAGATACGTGAGACAATAGCAAGTGAGATGGGAAATATAAGTTATTGAAAAACTATCGGGCTAGCTTCAGGTGAGGTTGAGGTACCCATTAAAGCAAGGAGCACACCCTATTTATAAACTTTTAAAAACTATATACACCAGGGAATCACGTCAAATTAGACTCTTGCTTCTTTCCATCATTCCATTTTCATCCTCTCTTGCCCTTTCTCTTTTCCATTATCAGCCAATTAAGCAAACAATAATTAAACATATTTTGTGACCCCACCACCCCTCATTCCAAGGTATATTTTTTTTCTTCTGTCTACTGATGCTTACGGGGTTGGTTATTTTAAGATTATCTTAACTGTGTATAAAATTATTCCAACAATATATTCTTTTTAAAATACTCAAATAAACATTTATTAGACTTTAAAAAATCTTTAAAAAATATCTAATGAACTTAAAAAAATCTTCAATAAATACCTAATAAGCTTTTTAAAAAGAAAAATAATATCTTTCCACTTTGTCTTTTAAAAATTAAGAAAAAAGTCATTCTAAACCTATGATTTTTGGACCATAATTGGTGCACACCCAGATCCAATACCTGGATGTGCAACCTCTACATAAAAATAAAAAAAAATAGACCGAATGTTCTCCATTTTTTTTTTTATGCGGAGTGTGCACACCTGGGTGTTGAATCCGGGTGTGCACACCTGAGTGTTGAATCCGGGTGTGCACACATCATTTTCCATGTATTTACAAAATCTTGTGTTACAGTAGCGGACTGTAACATCAGGACCCTTGATAGGGAGACGGGAGGGTCCAATATCAAATGGCCCTCCCCTTTTGAATGGTGATGATGGTTATAGTCTGTCCTGTGACGGACTGTAACATAGTTTTTTGTTTTTTTTAATAAATTTTAATTGAAAATAAAAATACTAATATATTTTATTTTTAAAATATAAATTAAACTATTTTGTCTTTTTTTATAATATTTTATTAAAATGACACAATTTTATATCATTTTTTCACTAAATTTTAAGATATAAGACAAATAAATACTAATTTTTTTAAAGAAATATCTATTAAAAAATAGTTTAAATCTAACATAAAAATTTTACAATCCAACAATAATAATATTTAATTTTTTATTAATTTTATTCTTACTATCTTATGATAGGAATTTGCATTTCTTTAACATCTTTCCAATTATAAAACGATTACAATTATACAGATCACAAAGCGAAAAAAAGGGCGAGAAAAGCTGTCAGATACATAATTCTAGTGTGAACTTTTTTTTTTCTTTTAATGATAAAATTATAGTACTAGTCTCAACTTTTAAAAATTTTTACACTTCAGTCCATATATCTCATAATTTCATGATTTGGCCCCTAATCTCTTCCACTTAATCCTTGGTTAAGAATTTGTTTTGGTTCCTCTACTCTTCACAAAAAGTCACTTTTTAGTCTTTTTACTTAAAAAAATCCTTTTTGGCGCTTAGAGTTTAAATCCATCCCCTTTTTAGTCTATTCATTACTTGCACATGTGACACGTTAGTAGAGGGACTAGAAACGAATTAAAAAAAAACCTTTTTTTAATCCCTTTACTTTAAAAGGAAGCCCTTTTTTAATCCCTTTACTTTAAAAGGAACCCCTTTTTTAATCTTTTTATTTAAAAAAAAAACTCTTTTTTAATTCCTTTATTTTAAAATTTTCATTATCTAATGTAATATTTATGCAAAAAGATAATGGAAAGATTTAAAAATGGCTCAATTTTAAACTTTAGGGACCAAAAAAATATTTTTTTGTTAAAAGGATTAAAAAGAATTTTTTTTTAAAGTAAAGAGATTAAAAAGGGATATTAACCTTCATCCTTTTTCTTTGTAAAACATTGTTATCTAGTTCAAAATTTATGATTTTTAAAAGATTTATTCTACACAAAATAATGTAAAATTGAGCAAAATTATATTAAATTCATTTAACTATTAATAAAATCAAAACTAAATTAATATCATATTATGAGCTATAATTCGATTTATCAAGTACTATTAAACAAATTAGTAAATTTTACATTAAAGTTTTATTAAGATTTTTATCAAAAAAAATTAGTAAGATTTTTGTTAAGCTGTTAATATTGGATTTCTCTAATTAAGAAAAAAAGTAGACAAAGAGATTCAAAAGTAGGATTATGATGGCAATGATTGAAGACAACTTTTGATAAAAGTACAAGAGATATTCTAACCTCAAGCATAAAGGTAAGTGAAAAAAAAATTGAAAATAATGTTAAGAAATTGTCAGTTATGTCTTGACCTAAAATACTTCTAATACTAGATAATAAGAGATAGAAGGAAATTAGCAAAAAAAAAGATATAATAATTGAAGATACAAAGAGTGACTCAAAAAGAATAATTAATATAGAAAGAAAGATTTGGCTGATTGAAAAATATATATAAAGATAAGTGAGATTAAAGAATAATAAAAAAATAAATTATTAATATAAAAAGAGAGAATAAATGTGAGTATAAGATCAAAATATATAATGATAAAATATGAAGAGTTAACTAAGAGATGAAGTCCAAGAAAAGTAAACAAGTGGTTGTAATGAGATAATAATATTAAAAAGTTACGTTTCTTTTTTTCTTTTTTTTTTTTGTTTTGACATAAAACATTTTTAATATAAAGAACGGGCAAGAGAAAAAAATTGGATAATAAAACATAAAATTTTAATTAGTTGATTGATAAAATTGAGAAAAAATTTCAATTAATGCATCCAAACAAAGGTTAAAAAAACTCAATATATAAAGGGAAAAAGATGGCAAATTTATAATGTAAAAACAAATATAATGATAAATAATGATAAGGGAACCTTAGAGATGGGGTTAAAAAATAAAAAAATGAGAGGCGGAGTAAATTAAGTAAATGAAAAGGTATCAAAGAATAATAGTAATAAATAAAGAATCCAAAGAAAGATTATGATAGCAATAACTGAAGATAACTTTTGAAGGAGTATAAGGGAAACTTTGACACTAAGATGTAAAGGTAAGTAAAAAAGAATTAGAGAATAATGTTAAGAACTTGTGTTATTTATTTATTGGGCTAAAACATTTCTAATGTAGGCAATAGGAGATAAATGGAAATTATAGTAAAAAGAAATATATAACGATAATTGAAGATATAAAAAGTGATTAAAGCCAACTACTTAAATAATTTAACAGTCCTTCCACTAAAAATAAGTAAAAAGTCTTAAATTTGAATCGCATAATATGTGATAAATAAATGATAAAAAATAATTATTTTTTATTGTGCAATTGAGATAAAAATGTGATTAAAAAATAAAAACACAAAAGGAAAGAAAATGATGTTAAATTAAAATTTTACATCGTTTTTAATGCTTCATATTAAATATTTTGTATGATAAGGATTTAAATTAATGTCAAATTAAAGTTTTAAACTTTTAATTTTGATGTCAAATTAAAGTTTTATATATATTGCATATTTATTTAACTAAGTTATTACTGGTGTCAAAGTCAACTAAAGAAAATGATGAAAGGAACCATATTGCAATTTTTAAAAGGTTAGTTACCCAATGTTCAATTTCAAAGGTTAGGGATAAATAAGCAAGAGAAATAAAGGTTGATTTATTCTTCAATAACTATTTATCTCTTGGCCTCTAAAAA